TTGAAAATATTTTTCCTTTTAAGGATAAAGGGAAAGAGGTTACCTACTCTAGGAAAAGACCTCTAGATGATGGACTAAATGATACCATTTCAGACAGAAGTTCACAATCAAATGAAGACAGTTCTTCTAAGGTTCAAGAAGAGAACTTAGAACCCAGAAGAAGCAAACGGGGCAAAATTGCCAAAGATTTTGGACCTGATTACATGACCTATGTAGTGAATAAAGAACCACAAACTTATAAGGATGCTATGGATTCTTCTGAAGCTCCCTTTTGGAAAAGAGGCAATCAAAGTGAGATCGATTCCATTGTGCAGAATAACACTTGGAAATTGGTAGATTTGCCACCTGGGCAAAAACCAATTGGGCACAAATGGATTTTCAAGAAGAAGTTTAGACCTGATGGTACCATTGAGAAGTACAAAGCTCGTTTAGTAGCTAAAGGGTATTGTCAAAAAGAGGGTCAAGACTTCTTTGACACCTATTCACCTGTTACAAGAATTACATCAATTCACACATTAGTAGCAATTGCAGCCATTCACAATTTGGAAATACACCAAATGGATGTGAAAACTGCCTTCTTGTATGGTGAACTAGATGAGAGAAGATAATATGAACCAACCTGAAGGGTTTGTGGTTAAGGGTCAAGAAAGCAAAGTTTGTAAGTTAGTTAGATCACTTTATGGACTAAAACAGGCTCCAAAGCAATGGCATGAGAAGTTTGACAACACATTACTCTCTAATGGATTTAGAATTAATGAATGTGATAAATGTGTTTATGTCAAACAATACAAGAATGCTTGTGTTATCATATGCTTGTATGTGGATGATATGCTTATAATAGGTACTAATTTGGATGTGATCAATCAACCAAGAAAATGCTACACTCCTCCTTTTCCATGAAAGACTTGGAGAGTAGTAGATGTGATCCTTGGTGTAAGAGTTCAAAGAAGATCAGATGGTTATACTCTTACTCAGTCCCATTATATTGAAAGTGTACTTAAGAAGTTTGGACACTATGATGACAAGCCGGTAGTCACCCCTTTTGATCCTTCAAGTCATCTTAAGAAGAATAAAGGTGATAGTGTAGCTCAGTTAGAATATACTCAAGTTCTTGGTAGCTTAATGTATATATGAATTGTACTCGACCGGACTTGGCTTATAGTGTAAGTAGATTGAGCCGCCACTCCCACAATCCTGGGAAAGATCATTGTATGCATTAGTGAGAGTGCTTAGATATTTAAAGCATACAATGAATTATGGATTGCATTACACGAGATATCCTCCTGTTCTTGAAGGGTATTGTGATGCAAATTGGATTTCCAATACCTCAGAGGCAAAATCCACAAGTGGATATGTGTTCACTCTTGGTGGAGCTGCTATCTCTTGGAAATCATCTAAGCAAACTGTGAATACTCGTTCTACAATGGAAGCAGAGTTTGTTGCTTTAGACAAAGCTGCTGAAGAATAAAAGCTTCCTAGAAGGTATTCCTCTGTGGCCTCAACCTGTTACTGCCATTGGCATACATTGTGATAGTATGGCTGCTCTTACTAGAGCACAAAGTCAGATATACAATGGCAAGTCGAGACACATTAGGCGCAGACATATTACAATAAGAGACTTGCTGAAGAATGGAATCATTTCCATTAGTTACATAAAGTCAAAGGAAAATATAGCTGATCCCTTGACAAAAGGCCTTAGTAGAGAGCAAGTTCTCTTCACATCGAGGGGAATGGGCTTAAAGCCAACACAATGAGTCACCACCTGGCGGAAACCTAACCTAGCAACATTGGAGATCCCATGGTCTAGGTTCAATAGGACAACTAGTTGGGGAAGACTCAAAGAAGCACTAACACAAAGGTATGCTCACTCCTATGAATTATTTTGTGTGTTTTCCGTTGATGATATAGAGATGAATTCTTTATTCTTAATAATGCTGATAGCTTTTATAGTGGAATAAGTACGGATTGTTCCAGATTAGTATTACCTATGTGAGATGGATGTGAGGTCGCATCTTTGGGAGCTGATGTGATATGGCTAAGCTCTCTAAAAGTCTCATGAAGAAAGGATCGTTCATGACCGAAATGAACACAACGGTAAGAAATGATCTATGCTTAGATATGATATGTGTGATACTTCTTGTATTATTCTACTATAAAAAGTGGTTAGTTCAAGAATCTAGTTCACTACCCACAAAGTAGATCCAAGTAGTACTCACTATGAAAGGTTCAAGTTTTACAACACCTATTCAGATGCATGTCATATCTTACTTCCCTTATTTGAATATCAAAGTTCACTTATTTTCTATTCAAATGTGGGGTATTCTTCGAGTTTGAATAGAAAATGTGGGGTGGTATTGTTGGAACTTTGCTTAACAATGTGGGACTTATCCCACATTGGTGGAAGAGAAAACTTTCTCCCACCTTATATGTCTTGTCCCACTCATTTAATTAAATGGGTCAAGTAATGGTTAAGCATATTGGGCTTGGGTTGTGGTGTTGGATTAGCCTAATTGGACTCAAAATAGGCTAATATCAAGAGAATATTTAATGGTCAAAAGATGGGCCTTGGGCCTTGGGGCTCTTGGGGTCTTCCTGATTAATTAAATAATTTTTAATTATGAAATTAATTTTTATTCTTTATTTTCATTAAATTCGTAATCACTGAATGACAGGTATTTGGAAGTTATTTTCGGTTTTGACAGTTTTTAACTGTCATAATCAATACCTATAAATACATGATTTCTGTCATTTGTGAGGGGTTACAGAAACAATCACCACAAACTCTCTTCAAAATTCGTTCTTCCTGAAGATGAAGGGGACATAGAAATTTCGACAGATTCAAGAGTACTTCTTGGATTGATTGTTGTATCCTCTAGACAGATCCCTACCAGGGAAATTTCTGTCTTAGGACACTGCAATTTGCAGGCCTCAATCTACATAATTTCATTTTTTGTGTTTCTGTTGTAAACATAAATCTTCAAGTATGTTTTCTGTAAACTGATTCTTGTATATTACATATATATATTTCAATTTCGTTTGTTTTATTTCTATTGCTCTTGTTGATTGTATACTTCTGTCATAACACTTCCATTGGAGCTCCAAATGCTCAAGCTGAGTGAGATTCCAAAAGTTTGCAAGAGTCGTACCTTGAAGTTTTTTATGCTCGATTTAGGGATAAATTACCCGCTTCTCATCTGAGCAAACTATATGGGTCCATTTACATGGATTCAAATCAGACTATTTGCAATCTAGAGGCAGGTAGAGAGACTGGTCATGATGGTCGAGGAGCTACTCCGACATTGTTGAAGTGGCAAAGAAGATTGGATTTGAAGGCACGTCGCATCCACCGTGGTGAAGGTTGAAGATGGGGTAAAGTATAGATGTTCAGGAAATGCTATTCAAGATCTGGGTTTGATTTTTTTTTTTCTTTAAATTTAATAAAACTATATTTATCATAGAAAATCCATGTGGTCGTTCACTGCATACCACTTGGACCATACATGATGATCAAGATTCAAACTAAGAAGAACAACCGGCTTACCCCTTCACATTTGAAATAATGACGTTTTTTATACTGATTTTCATAGTTTAGTAACCTACACTACCCAAAAGAAAAATAATAATAATAATAATAATAATAAAATTGTAAACCAAAAGGTAAAAGTTTTTAGTGACATTTATAATTTTCTATTCTACAATCTATCCAAAATCTATTTCTAATTTCTTGATTAAAATTTATCACCCTCAAATTTCATAAACTTTCATTTTGAATTGGTTTTAAAATGAAATGTTTTAGTCCCGAACCTTCTTTATATATTTTATAATCCACCATAAAATTTAAATCTTTTATTCGTTGTTTATAACGATTCCCACTGTGTAACTAGTTTCAAAATTAAAAAATATTTTAGATATAAAATTTAAAATCCATTTCTTTTATTCGTACGTAAACATTCTCTTTTACAATTTTAGCCAAACCTTTTTTTGACAAACCTAATTTTTCTGTATAATTTTTACAAAGTTTTAATTTCATTTACGAATTTTGTCCAAATATTTTCTCAATTATTTTACAACTTTGTTTTTCTAATATTAGTTTATTTCAACTTTTTTTACATGTTAGTTTATAACTTAACTCTTTTATGAATCCATTTCTACATTTTTTTTATATATTTGTATGTATGCATGTTTTTTAAGAGTTTTTCATTTTTACAAATAATGTTTTAGCTTACTATGTATTTGCTACATTGTGTTTTCCGAACAAAAACACAGACTTTGTTGCAACGTACGGGTGTAAAAACCTAAGTGTTATATATAATTTGCAAGATTACTAAATATTTTGTAAAGTGTTTTTGATAAGATATGTAAAAGTTTAAATTTCTTTTATAAATTCTGTAAAAAATATAATATGTCCATACTCCATAAATAGATGTGTATATCCAATCCTAAATAAGAAAAAATTAAGTAGTATATCGGAAAAACCTCACAGGTAGTTGGAACTAAAACCTGACTACTGGAACTCGAAAGTGAAAGCTAGTAAAATGTAAACTAAAGCTTTTATATATAAAAGTGTTTAAAGAAAATAGTAATAACTTTTGAAAAATACAAAATGTCGTAAAAAAACTAAAAAATTTAAAGTTCAAAAACTAGGTTTTAGATTTATTGTTTTTGTTTAAAATGAGAACTTTAAGTCCGTATTCACGAACAAAGTTTTTTTTTTCTTTCAATTCGAACAAAGATTTTTTTTTCTTTCAATTCGAACTATTTTCTTAAAAACAAATGCTCATAAAAGATTATAAAAGTCGTTTCCATAAAATTTAGCTAAATAGCGTCTAAAATGATGTCATATCATTACATGTGAATGAGACTATTGGTCATTAGGTTTACAAGATCTCAGGTAATATAGTTAAAAAAAGCCAAAAAAAACAAAAAAAATCTTATTTCTTTGTCAAACGATCCTTTGAAATCAATGACACAAAAAACAATAGATCTAAAAAGAACTAAAACCACAATCATACCAATACTACATTTTATTTCTATTAGTCCAAAAATGGAATACATAAGTTAATTGCCTTAAAATGCACCTCTCGGGGCGAAAAATCGGCAGTTAGCCACCGAGAAACATGTAAACAAAAAAAGAGCTCAAGAGTCGAGCTGATACTCATGACTGAAACTAGCTACCCGGATGCACCCGAATAAAATTGTATTATAAATAAAACAAACAAAACAATGACAATTAACTAGCATTCTCTTTGGCAATCCTCTCAGCTTTCGCAATCACCTCATCGATTCCTCCAACCATATAGAAAGCTTGCTCTGGCAAATCATCATATTTTCCTTCAATAACACCCTGCATCACATATTGTTAATTATTCATTTATCCATTACAATCATTATATAATAATAATAATAATAACAATGCTACTTTGAATACACATAATATATATTGAGAAATTTTATATGTATCCTACCAAATTGCTTAGTGTATTCATACGAGTGGAATAATATGAGCGGAATAGTGTTTATACACCGATAATTTAACAATTTATATTAGTGATGATATCTATAATAGATATTTTAACAATTTATATTAGTGATGATATCTATAATAGATATTTTTCAGATATTTGATAAATAATCAAACATTTTTCGTAGACATGAGTTTGAACACCATTTTTTATTTTTATTTTCATATATGATTTAACTTTTCAATTAAAAAAAAATATATATACAAGATTGGATTGGGGAAAATTTTATATACCTGGAAACTGGCGACGCTTTCCTTCAACTCGACGTACTTCCCCGGAGCGCCGGTGAAGACTTCTGCAACATGGAAGGGTTGACTCAAGAAACGCTGGACCTTACGAGCACGAGCAACGGTGAGTTTATCGTCTTCACTAAGCTCATCCATTCCTAAAATGGCGATGATATCCTGCAGATTCTTATAGTTCTGAAGAACCTTCTGAACGCCACGAGTAGTGTTATAATGATCTTCACCAAGAATACGAGGAGAAAGCATTCTAGATGTTGAATCCAATGGATCCACAGCCGGATAGATTCCAAGCTCCGAAATCTACATTAAAGTTTTACACCAAATTCAGGAAAAAGATCGTGTTTTAGTAGGAATGATAGAACGATAGCTAGTCTACCTGTCGAGAAAGCACGGTGGTGGCGTCTAGATGAGCGAAGGTGGTCGCCGGAGCAGGATCCGTCAAGTCATCGGCCGGCACGTAGATAGCTTGCACTGATGTAATGGATCCTTTCTTGGTTGTCGTAATACGCTCCTGAAGGCCTCCAAGATCCGTCGCTAACGTCGGCTGGTAACCGACGGCCGACGGAATACGTCCCAACAAAGCAGACACCTCGGAGTTCGCCTACCGGAAAAAAAATAAGCACGAAAACCATTCATCAATAATGAGAGAGAGAGAGAGAGATGTGTTGATTTTAATGGTGGATATATGCTTCACCTGAGTGAAACGGAAAATGTTGTCGACGAACAGAAGCACGTCCTGTCCTTCAGCATCTCGGAAGTGTTCGGCGACTGTAAGTCCGGTGAGTCCGACACGAGCACGAGAACCGGGGGGCTCATTCATTTGACCGTACACCAACGCACATTTGCTTTCCATTTGTTGGTCTCCGAGCTTAATGACACCACTCTCGATCATTTCTCGATACAGATCATTTCCTTCTCGAGTTCTTTCACCAACTCCGGCGAACACCGAGAAACCACCTGATCAGAATTAAACATGAACCTTCGTATTCCATCATATACACAAGAAATTAAAAGGGTCTTGCTTACCATGGGCCTTTGCGATATTGTTAATGAGTTCCATAATTAGCACCGTCTTCCCGACGCCGGCGCCACCAAACAACCCGATCTTCCCACCTCTTTGATATGGAGCAAGAAGATCCACAACCTGCAATTGCAAATGGAAAACGAATGAGAAACGTAAAAATTAAAGATAATAAGTGAATATTTTAATCACTTTGATTCCGGTGATGAGGATCTGCTGTTCGGTTTCCTGATCATTGAATGCCGGAGCTTCACGATGAATTGGTAGATAGTGACTCGTTTCTTTGAAATTCAAACGATCAAAAGCGTCAGTAGTTTGAATCAGATTGGGAAGAAAGTGAGCAGATAATTAATGGTGTAAAGATACAATGCTTACTTATTTCACCCCTGTGGTCAATAGGCTCTCCGATGACATTTATGATTCGACCGAGTGTCTCCCTGCCTACCGGAACCTGTAACATGGAATGAAGATTACGATTGAAATCTTGAAGAAAGGAATTGAAGTCTCAAATGGAGTAATTTAACAGAAAAAAAAGTCTTACAAGGATAGGAGATCCGGTGTTGAGAACTTTTTGGCCTCTAACAAGTCCATCAGTTCCATCCATGGCGATTGTCCTCACCATATTCTCTCCCATATGCTGCGCCACCTCTAACACGAGTCTGATCGAATGATCCATCACCTCCAACGCCGTCGAGATCGGCGGCAACCCATCTTCAAACCGCACATCCACGACGGCGCCGATCACCTGACAGACCCGACCCACAGCACCTTTACCTGTATATTCATCGGTAATCTTCCCGGTTGTTTCGGAAGACGTCGGAGACGACGAGAGTGCGGCGGCTGCCGTAGAGTATCCTGCTGTCGCTGCCCGGTTCAACAGAAAACCTACCGGCGAAGGGCGGTAACGTGGACATGGGGTCGGTGGATTGTGGAGTTTTGTGATTGAAGGTGATTTAACACGGCGGAAAAGGGAGGATACAAGCCTCCGGGAAGCCATATCAAATCGGAAAATGGTGGCTGATTGGGTTTCTTTCGAATCGATTCAAATCAATTTATTGACATTTGCTATTGAAATGGTGATGGGGATTTTTAAGGAAGATGATGAGTATGAGTGGTGAGTGAATTACGAGTGAAATATTGGGGTGAAGATTTATTTGCAAGGTTGAGTTTCGTTGTGATCTTGCTTTTCCGATGGGTACGTCGTCGGACGAATTCAAATCATGGCCGGGCGCCACGTGGTGTTGGAACACGGCATACCCGGCAATTTTAGAGCTGAAATTGTTTTGTATTTAGTGAAATAAACTTATGACCCTTTACTTTAAATTGTTTGTCACATTGGACCCAAAAGTATCATCGTTTACCAAATATGCCCACACGTTTTAGTGTTGTTCATACTAGGCACTACTATGAAACTCTAACGACAAAATTTAGTTGAAACTAGGTGTATGGTTGTATGCCTCTGGTTGAAGATTACGTATGAATAAAATTATATTGCTAAAATATTATCGAGTAATAGTTCAAATTGGCTGTAGTTCATGTCCATATAAATGGCATTTCAACGAGCACTTCTTTGCAACCAATGTTTTTTTTGCCAGTCTCCTCTAAATTTCATATGTTATAACAATTAAATAGGAGCATACCCACCTAGTCAATTTCAACACTCATATGTTACATTAGGTGATATATTTTCAGAAATACGATTTACTCATATTTTCCTCGTGCATCCACTTATATTCATACCAATATAAAAAGTAGAAAACCATACCATTTGAACGGTCTACATCAATCCTTCCCCCTAAGGTTCACGTGAGATATCAATCACGGAACATTAGACAAGCAAAATTTGAGTCATTGATATATTATATGAAATTTCACTCCTTAACCATCAGACTCATCATAAAGGTTATTCACAAATATATATTACCATAACTTGTAATTCGATAACCAATGTCATAAACATATGTATGTTTCGATCTCAAAACTTATTTTCTTCGTTAAATGATTTTTCTAGTAAAATGCACAAATAAAACATAATAATACATATGTATCATTGTAAAGCCCATTGAAGGGAAAAAAACATCTTATGGGATATGTGCCCAAATAACTATATACTCGCATCGATGTTGATTTGAGAATCAACATATATATCACAACTTTTTTTAATCCTCAGTAACATCATCATTTTGATCTATCTATAATACCACAGTTTTCTTTCTTCACATGTTGGTCGATACAAACAACTTACATTCGACATAGATAAACTCCACTTAAAAGTCTCTTTGACTACAAACCTTGTACAATCTATATATATTGCATACGATAGGTCGTAACTTGTTTTCTATTGTATAAAGAAAAGGCATTACATGTTGTACAAACCCTAACATCAAGCCCTTCTAATAGTGCTCTCCATACATGTTGTAAATTGGTTTTGTAATATCAAGCTAGGTTATATGCAAACTAAAAATTAGATCTGTAAGTTCGTATCCTGGTCATATATGTTATGTTTATCAAATTAGTGATTAAATTTATTTTTAATCAAAACTCGAGGTTTTTGCCTATGTTTAAAACCTAAACATCTCTAAACATATTAAGGACATACTTTATGAAAACTAACAAGATATAGAACGGTTAGGGTTTCATATTATTATCAAATGAGAAGTATAAAGATATAATGAAAGGAAAAGACAATATATAGACTAGCTAATTAGGGTTTTCTAGCTAATGGGCCAACATAAGACCCAATACAAAATAAAGCTCATAATCTTATTAGGCTAACACTCCCCCTCAAACTCACAATGCAACAACAAGGAAGAGAGATAGTCAATGGCTTCATAAGAATATCAGCATTTTGCAAAGTGGAAGAAACATAAGGAAGAGAGATAGTGCCCTTCTGGAGATGATGTTGTGTGAAATGACAATCAATATCAATGTGTTTTGTGCGCTCATGAATCATTGAATTCTTGCCAATCATTATCGCACTCTTGTTGTCACAATACAAAGGGGTAGGCTGAGAGATGTGAACGCCCATATCTGCAAGAAGCCACCTCAACCCTTTGGAGACTGAGCAACTTCAATCCCCAAGAAATAACGTAGCAAACCCAAGTCTTTCATAGCAAAACGGTGAGTCAAATCACGCTTTAAAGACTCTATACCATCATGATCATTACCAGTAATAATCATGTCATAAGGAAAGAATAATCCGACCTGCATTCGTACATCGAACAAATAGAGCTGAGTCATGGTTACTTGGTTGAAAACCAAGTGAAGTAATCACCGTAGAAAATTTCTCAAACCAAGCACGAGGGGGTTGTTTAAGGCCATATAGTGCCTTCCGAAGTCGACAAACTTCACCTGGTTGGTGAGCAATACCAGGGGAGGAGACATGTATACTTCCTCATGAAGATCACCATTCAAGAACGCATTCTTGACATCCATCTAATAAATTTTCCATTGGCGAATGGAAGAAACTGCAATCAAGGTGCGAATAGTCGTCATTTTGCAACAGGAGCAAACGTCCCTCATAATCCATACTGTAACATCCAAATTTTCAAGACCAAAAATTTTGTTTTTAATTAAGTAACTTATAAAACAATTTACTGAAAAATATCAAAGATTCATATCATTTCATAAAACATAGTCACGTGTCTCAGACCATATCATAAAATAGTAATAATGTCAGAGTACAATCCCAAGAATCTCATAATGCGGAAATCCTCTGTGTGTGTGTGTGTGATGCGTTGCTACCGTGTCGGCTCCTTCCCCTTCGAAGAAGAGGTACCTGAAAACAAAACTGAAAACTGTAAGTACAAAGCTTAGTGAGTTTCTCCATCATACCACATATCATACATAACACATACTGCCATGCATATCTAGGTGCCCGACCTACCCTGCTGAGCATACCGGGGTGCTAAACCTACCCCTGCTAGGCATACCGAGGGTGCCTAACCTACCCCTGTCAGACATACCGGGGTGTACGACCTACCCATCCGCTTTATCTCCACCGGTTACGGGGACTATTTCACCCCCTACTACTACCACATAAAACATAATATAATCATACTGCCAGGCATACCGGGGTGCCCGACCTACCCCCTGGCCCTATCGATCGGATATGGGGACTATTCCCCCCACTACCACATAACATCATATCAGGCTAGCACATAATCATAATAGATAACAACATACCATACAATTATCACAAAAACAATTATCTCTACTATAAATATTACTAGTGGGCCGGCCTTGGTGCCTTCGACCCACTTCTACTGGAAGGTAACTCACCTCAACGTCGTGTAGTATCTGGACTGTCCTCGGTGCTGGAATCGACTCCTCTCAAACTCCTACACATAACCATCTTCCTTAATTATCTTTTTATACTCATAACCCTTCCAAGGGTCAACTCAGGTCAAAGTCAAAGTCAAGGTCAACACCTTGGTCAAAGTCAACTTTTGGTCAAAGTCAACATCTGGTTGACTCAACTCGCCGAGTTGGTCCACCAACTCGTCGAGTTCCCTAATCCACCCAAAATACTAAAACTTCGATCCTACTCGTCGAGTCCTTCAAGAACTCGTCGAGTTCTCCTTCATACAGAATTGGGACCCTTTGCTCTTGACTCGCCGAGCTCGTCTATGAACTTGTCGATTCCTTCTTCATACAAGTTGGGACATTACCTTGAACTCGTCGAGTTCTTTGATCTTCAAGTCCATATTCACGTCCATCTTGTCGAGTCCTCTTCTAGACTCAACCATATTGCTCCGAAACATAAGAGGTTGGGGAACCATAACCTGACTCGCCGAGTCCTATGAACGACTCGTCGAGTCCCCCAAGGTTCAAGTCCATGTAGTCGATTTCAGTCGGGCTTAACGCATTCAAAACGTAGATCTGACCTCCTAGGGTCGATATTACACGTAAAGTTATAAACTTTACATGCATGCAAGGTGTTATGAGCCAAAAACACCATTTTCAAGTCTAAAATAAAGTCTAGGCCAAAGGGAAGGGCTAAAGCATGATTATTTCGTAAACTTTATTGATATAGGGGCTGAAAGGGATCTGGATCTGAAGTTACAACTTCAGATCACACTCCATACTCCAAAAAAGGTTCACAAAATTGCTAAAAGATGGCCCTAAACTCAAACATGGAGAGATCTAATGAATGAATGAGAAAGGTACAGACTTTATACCTCAAATGAGCTGGGAATATGACAAAATCTATGGATCTACTTGTTTCCTCTTGATCTCCCAAGCTTCCTCCTTCTTCTCAAGCTTCAAAAACACACAAAATGGCACAAAGTAGCTCAAGAACACTCCCAACTGATTAGGGTTTTGAGAATAAGGGTGATGGAGGCTGGAGTGGAGGCCTTATAAGTTGTTTAAATAGGGTGCAAACCCTAAAATTTAGGGTTTCATCCAGACAGGTCTACTCGTCGAGTCGGGGCTTCTGACTCGGCGAGCAGACTCTTCCACCTACGTCCATTCCTAGTCGTTCAATGTAGTTCAGGCTGTCATCCACCTAAAAATACTCTAGAGGAACCACTGCAGAGTCGTCTACCAGGCACTTCCGCAGCTAGGAGACATGAAAGGTACTGTGAATCTGGCTAAGCTTGGCTGGAAGATCCAGTCTATACCCCACCTTGCCCATCCGGGCTGCAACCCTGAAAGGTCCAATGTACCTGGGGCCTAACTTGCCCTGCTTCCTGAACCGGATGACACCTTTCCAAGGTGACACCTTCAGGAGGACCATATCCCCGACCTGGAACTCCAGGTCCGAACGACGCTTATCGACATAACTTTTCTGCCGACTCTGAGCTCTGTATCCTGCTCCGAACCTACTGGATCCTCTCCGTTGTCTTGAGTACCACTTCGGTACTCCCCATGACCCTCTGCTCAACCTCACCCCAGCATATCGGGGTCCGACACTTCCTCCCGTATAACATCTCGAAGGGGGGACGGTCAATACTCACGTGGTAGCTATTATTGTAGGAAAACTCTGCCAAGGGAAGGTAGGTATCCCAGCTACCACCGAAGTCTAAAACGCATGCTCGCAGCATATCCTCCAAAGTCTAGATGGTCCACTCGCTCTGATCATCCGTCTGCGGGTAAAAAGCGGTGCTAA